GTTTTAATTCATTCATGTGACGTTACAGTTTTACAAGCAGAATAATATTGAAGCAGACTAACATTTTTTTCAGAACAGGTAGTTAGAAAATAAAAACTTATTTACCAGAGTTTTGAAGCAAAATTTTGGGGCTAATTTGAAGCAAAATTTTGGGGGCTAACATCGGGAAATAGATCAGAAAAAAATCAGCTGATTTTTGGTAGACTTTAAAAAATCAACTATGATGAATCTAGTAATCATTAAAGAAATTCCCTTGAGGGGACCCCCCCATTCTCGGGGTCAAAAATGTTGTTGATATAATTCGAATCTACACTAATTAAAGAATGTCCCTACAAAATTTCAAATGAAAATCTCAAGAAGTCTTGAAGATATAGCCGATTTATTGTGTTAGCATCAAGTGACGGCTGAAGGGCTTCTCAAACTTTAAACGCGTTTTTCTCTAAACATTTTTTTGCGAATGGCGGGCACGATAACTCAAAAACTAATAACCCAATCGACTTCAAATTTTTACACGTTTCTCTGTGAGTGTGTAGCTATCGTATGAACTAGGATAAAGCCAATCGGTGAAGATCTTCCTTATTTTTTGACTTGGGTTTTGGTAAAAAATCGTCGATTTTCAAAAAAATATTTTTTCAAAGGTCCACCATTTTGTTAATTTTAGAGCGAAGTTAATAATCCTAGTTCATACGAGAGCCAGACATGTACTCTTTCTAACACCGTTGGAATTTTCGGATTCCGATGTTCCAGTGAGGAGTTATCATGCCCGCCATCGAAAATAAGGACTTTTCTTTAATTACAAACAACAACAACAAAGCAATAACAATTTTTTTTTTGTAAATTATTATTCCTCTCTTTTAAATCTTCAAATATATATGTGCAAAGTTACAAACCTTAACAAGCATTGGTATTGATTTACCAGCCCATTGAAAATCTTGAAAAATTCAAATCGAGAATGGGTGGGGTTCCCTAAAAGGTCCTTAAAAATAGTAAGTTCTTAGCAGAGTATTTGGACGAGGTTACGCTATATGAGTCCAAGTGTGTTTCGTGATGTTTGGGTCTATGTTTATAAAATAAAATGTTTATAAAAATACCCGCCTTTTATACCCTTCACCACACTATGGTACAGGGTATTATGTCTTTGTGCATATGTTTGTACTGGCAAAAGGAAACGAGTCAGACCCATGGTTCCTTTTGAGAAGATGCATAAAATCTCTTTCTTCTTTCTTTGTCCGTCTGTTGATGTTAAATTGTAATCAAAGTACTGGTTGCATTTGTAATCCGATTTGGAGGAGATTTGGTAGAGGAGAGGGGGCAAAAACACCGTTAGTTTCGTAATCGTATTAGCCCATTTGAAATTTTGAGAAATCGAAGCCAAAAGTTAAATACTTCGTTTTTTACTGGAGTTTACTGGGCATGTTCAAAGGTGCCCCACCTGTGGCATTTTACGGAAATTTATAATAACTTTTTTTGTAGGAAACATATCGACGCCTCCGAACCAGTAGAGGTTTCTGTAGAAGCTCTCAAAGTATGGAAGTTTCATATATCTTACGGGCCATGCTAAGTATATTTTTGCTTATAACTATGGTTTGGTTTGGCCGATGATCACCAAAATTTCAGAGAATATAAATTAAGGACCGTAGTATCTAAAAACGTAAAGAACTTTAAAACATGCTAAGTCGACTTAGCATACACTGGTTCGGAGGCGTCGATATATGAAAGAAAATACATTAGTTATGTTTGAAATGGTTGTTGGAATGCCAAAAAAAATTTTAACGAAGGTAAACTATCACTGAATTCATCCTGCGCAATTACAACCAAAAGAATAAAAGTTTACAATGGCAATTCGAATACATGGTCCCCCATGTACGATATGTCGACAGCTGAAAAAGCTAGCCAAAGTGGTTTACGCAGATAGAGAACAAGATTGTCATATACAAAAAAGTGTTTGCGGTTCGGTAAAATTTTAAACCGAGATTTCATGAGCACTGTTCAAAGTTGCCCACGTTGAAAGGTGCCCCTCTCCTCTATAGCTCAATTATTTGTCCCAAGGACGAACCCTATTGAAATTTGTGAAAATCGGTTCAGACTTAAATATAAGCTCTGATATATATACTCAAATCTAGGCCGGTTCTAGGTTCGTCCCAAGGACGAACCCTATTGAAATTTGTGAAAATCGGTTCAAACTTAAATATAAGCTCTGACATATAAACTCAAATCTAGGCCGATTAACATCACATGTTGCAAAACGTACCTAATTAATTAATCTCTGGCTAGTTTCTTTCAAATCGGTTCAGATTTAGATACAGCTCCCATACATATTTTTTTCGATTTTAGGTGAATAGTGCACCAAACTACTAATGTGTGTCCGATTGATACGACGTTGTGTATCAAATAGACACTAGAATAACGTTATAGCGTTTTGTTGAAATCGGCGCAGATGCAGACATAGCTTCCATATATATATTTTCGATCGACTTCATGTTAATTGTGCACCAAATAAAGAACGGGTGTCTGATTGAGAATACATTTTGAAACTTTAAATCTATCTATATATATAAAATAGAAAAAAATTTGTTTGTTTGTGTGTATGTTCCCGATAGACGCTAAAACCGCTGAACAGATGTTAATGATATTTGCCCTGTATGTCATGACATGCCCTGAAAGTAACATAGGCTAGCTAAACTTCTAAAATTCCGCGTGGATGCAGAGTTATGGCGTCAATAGTAAACAAACCTCAAAATTTCGGAAAATGTAATATACGTATATCTTAAGAAAGGTTACAGATACCGTCTTCAAAATTTGTGTGAATAACGTAGGTGTAAATACACACCATCCACACAAAAACGAGCTTGGTACGATCAACGGAAAATACAATTTCTGCTGCATTTTCAAATCTGCATATTGAAAACAGAAAAAATTTCGTTTGTAGACTCAAAATTCGCTGGACAGATTTTACTGAGACTTTCACAGAACGTCGTGCCATGTCCTGGGAATAACTTATGTTATATAAACCTCTAAGATTCGGCGTGTATGCGGAGTTATAGCATCGAACGTACTCATGCCTCAGAAATTATGATCATGTAATTTGTGTATATCTTAAGAAAGGTTACAGATACCGGCTTCAAAATATGTCTGTACGCATATTCCATTTAAAAGGATCGCCGGCTACCAAGGGAAAATGCACTCCTCGTTGAATTTCTATCTATCTATATGTATATAGAAAATCGAAAGCATATTGTTTGTGGACTCAAGAACCACTGAACAAGTTTTACCAAGAGTACGTCAATGGAAGTAACATAGGTTAGATAAACTCCTACAAACTCGCGTGGATGCGGTGCAATATCATCAAAAATAAGCATACATACATATATGTTTGTATGTACATATGTATGTTAGTAGCATGTAGCTACTTTCAAATTTGTTTCAGAAAGATGGCTGCAATTGCGCATCATCCGAAGATTTTGGAACGTTGAGGATATATTTTGAAATACATAAAATACAAAATATGTACATACATATGTATGTATGTGTATTGAAATACAAATAGAAAGAAATAACTGACATTATAATTTTTTTCATTTTTGTCAGTTTGTCTTGATTTATGCGGTGTACATACTAGCATTTTTGAATGGCACTCTTGCCCAAATTTTGCTTGTTTGATAGTGTGGCCTCACATGTTTGTCATTCATCAGGCAACCACAAAAATATTTATGGTTGTTGGACAGTCAGTAATCGATAAAAAAGCTGACAGTCAAAAATGATAGTGTGTACACCGCTTTAGATTAGACGAGTTTACTTGCGGCAATTCTTGTCGTTCTCTTTTGAACTTGCTTCATGCGTTTATACAAGGCAATTCGGTTTCCAAAATATTTTTCTATTTGTTGGTTTTTCACATTTAAATCTATATAAAATGTCAACAAATACGAAATACACAAAACGAATTGCCAGAAAATTGTCGGTACGAGCAATTTTTTTTCATTTTTATTCCCCTTGTCCCTCTCTCCTACAAACAAAGACTTGCCGCAAGTAAACTCGCCTAATCTAAATCAAGACTTTGTGAAAAATTTTATTTGAATAAAAAAAATATCGAATATTAGGGTTGGTCATATATAAAAAATGGCATGGAATGATACATTTCATTTTGTGGGCGGTACGCCAATAAGTTCCATTTTCCAACAATATACAGGCTTGGAAAAAGTATTAGGTTGTGCGAAGTTTGGTTCAAATCGGATAATCCATTCGCATGATATTGAATACAATAATTTTCAGCAAAATTTTTACTATTTTGTGTGGGAGGAACCAGAAGGAGTGGACCGATATTCTCCATCTTCGAACTTGATTTAAGTTTGAAAGAAATATTACGATGTATAAAGTTGGAATGAAATCAGTAACTTCTTTCAAGAGTTATTGAGCGCACCAGCCAGTCAGACAGACGGGAGGACATTTGCAAATCGACTCCCAATTTTATAACGGATTTACTCCAAGAAATCTATTTTTGCCGTAGAATAATGTATACACCCCTCTTTAGCCATAAGACCGAGGGCAAAAGGGTTTTTTAATTAAATAAAACATACCCAACATTTTACAAAATAGAAGAAATTTGAGTTCGAAAATTGCACACATTTAGAAATGCTGATGCATAGCTGGCAACAAAAGCTAGTCGTTGACCGACTTTTGTTATTGACAGTGAAACGTTGAAGCAAGCACTTCCAGACAATTTGTTGCAATGTGTATTTTTTGTTATTGTAATTTCTTATCAACCCATTTAGAATAGTTCGGCTGCTGTCAGCAAAAAATAAAAAAGCTTCGCTTCATTCAAATTCTCTCTGTGTCAGTAGTTTTTCGATTTCCACATTTCAGTATATAATCCGACCAGAAACGGAACACAAGGTACAGTTCACTTTGCATTAAGTGATCGAGTGTTCTCTGGTTTCTGGGAATAAAATACACAGGAAGAAGATCCGGCTTAATTTTTCTGATACCCAACGACAACACCAATAATGAATCCTTTGCGTACGGTCTGCCTGATGATGGGCGTCTTGGCCTTGGCTAGTGCCAATAGTGCCGGTCCACGTCCCATGGGCATGAATTCGAATCGTAATACGATTAAGCATAACAGCATGAAACCCACATCATGGATGTCCATATCGACATTGGAATCATTGCCTTCGCTGAAGGAAATCAAATTGGAAAAATTGGAGGAGTTGTCGGCCTATGAGGGTGCTGATTTAATTAATCAATTGTGTAAGTACCCAGACAATAACAATATTATTTTATGCCATATAATGAATGTTGATTTTCTTTTACAGACCACCTCTCCCAGGCCACACAAGCCTTGGAGCCAACCTATGCCCCCAAGGCCAGTGAAATCCCTGCCTTCCTTGTAACCCCCGATAACCAGAAAATCGATTTCCAATTGAACGAATTGCCCCGCGTAGCCCGTGAACAATCCCACTGCGGCAAACAGGATGTTACCGTTTTCATCACCGGTCTCCCCTCGAAATTGGAAAGTGTCAAGAAAGCCACCCGCAGTTTGGTCCATGCCTATATGCAACGTTACAACGAAAATAGCTCCTCATCCCAGAACTCTGCCTCCAGCAGCAGCAGCCATCACCATAACCAGCACAACAAGAACAAACAACGTAACGACAGCGATGAAGATGATTCCTCCTCCCAGAACCCTTCCGGTTGTTTGATTGTTGTTAAATTCGGTGATACCATCAGCGATTTTGAGGAATACGCCACCGTTGACACCGAAAAGGTTGGCAAGGAAGTCGGCAAAGTTTTGGTTCAACTTTTGGAGAAGACCAAATGCAATAGCGATAACATCCACTTGATCGGTTCCAATTTGGGCGCCAACATTGCTGGTGCTGCCGGTCGCCAATATACCAAGGAAACCAATCATCAATTGCGTCGCATCACCGGTTTGGACCCTGTCAAATCCTTCGCCAAGGATCCCGAAACCTTGACTGGCTTGGCTCGTGGTGATGCCGAATTCGTCGATGCCATCCACACCACCGCCAACAGCATGGGTACCTCTGCCCGTTCCGCTGATGTTGATTTCTATCCGGAAGGTCCCAGCGAGGCTGTCCCCGGTGCTGATAACATTGTGGAATCTTCCATGCGTGCCACCCGCTACTTTGCCGAATCTGTTGTACCAGGCAATGAACGTAACTTCCCTGCCGAATCTGCCCACTCTTTGGATGAGTACAAGAGCAGCAACACCTCCGGTCGCCGTATCTATATGGGCATCAACACCAACTTCAAGGCTGAGGGTGATTACATGTTGCAGGTGAACAACAAGAGCCCATTCGGACGTAGCACCCCTGCCCAAAAGCAAAAGAACTCCCATGGTGCCCACAAATCATGGAAGATGTCCCAAGATGAGGAATAAGGTAATTGTGGACCAATCTTCTCCAAGCCCCCACCAATTGATTGATCTGAGCAATGTTTTTTATGGAAACCTGATTGATGATTTAAATGTTCGCGAGAATTAATTCAATTCGATACGCATCGTATCGTTGGAATTTTTTTCTTTTAATTTTGTATTTTTTCATAGCTTTTAAGTAAAGTGAAGAACACAATGAAATATTGATAATGCTGATATTTGCTATAGGAAAGAATTTGCATTTAAAAAAACTTTAGTGAAATAATAAGAGAATTGCATATTAAAAAGCAAAAAAGAATTTTTGATTTTTTTTGGTACACCACACAATACGAATCCTGGGGGATTTTTAAAAGAAATTACTTTTTATTCGAACCAGAAAATACCGATTTGGCAAAGAATATTCTTTATTTCTAATGACGTTTTTAAGGCTACAAATAGGCATGGAAATATTTTTCAAAGAGTGTTTTTTTTTTAAGAATAGTTTTTCAAGGCCCATAACAAGTGTTGGATTTTTCTTTTAAAGACCAACAGGATTTTTAAGACAATAAATATTTTTTTAAGAGCCAAAATTTTTTAACGATTTTTTTTCTAGGACCCTACAAGGCGTGGATTTTTATACCCTTCACCACACTGCGATACAGGGTATTTTGTCTTTGGCAAAAGGAAACGAGATAGACCCATGGTTCCTTTTGAGAACATGTATAGAATCACTTTCTGTGTCGATTTATTCATGTCCGTCCGTCTGTCCATGTTAAATTGTAAACAAAGTACAGGTCGCATTTCGCATGATCCAAATTGGATGGTCTCTCTCTATTGAAATTGGAAAATATCGGTTCAGCTCCATTTTATCGTCGGAAATTATGTGAATGATGCATCAAACTCCCAATATTTGTCCGATTGAGATAATAAATTTTGCACAACATTCTGAATTAGATGCAGACTGATGTATGTGAAGTTTTGATTAAATCAGTTCAGATGTAGATATAGTTCCCATATATAATTTTGTTCGATTTTATGTGGATGCTGGATGTATGTGAAGTTTTGATAAAATCAGTTCAGATATAGATATAGTTCCCATATATAATTTTGTTCGATTTTATGTGGATGCTGGCATAGGGCACTGAATTAGGTTCAGACTGATGTAAGCGGAGGTTTCATAAAATCGGTTCAGACTTAGATATAGCTTTCATATATAGTTTCGTCCGATTTTATGTGAATGATGCACCAAACTCCCAATATTTGTCCGATTAAGACAAAATTATGCACGGCGTACTGAATTAGGTCCATACTGATGTATGCGAGGTTTTATTATAATCGGTTCAGATTTACATATAGTTCCCATATATATAATTTCGTCCGATTTTATGTGAATGGTGCACTAAACTCCCAAAATTTGTCCAATCGATACAAAATTTTGCAAAGCGTATTAAAATGAGGTTTTGTGGAAATCGGTTCAGATTTCGATATATTTCCCATATATAGTTTCGTCCGATTTTTGATAAAAGATGTACCAAACTCCCAATATTTGTCTGATTCAAACACAATTTTGCAAAGCGTACTGACTTAAGTCCAGTTTGATGTCCGTGAAGTTTTATTGAAATCGGTGCACATTCAGATATAGCTCCCATATATTTTTGTCCGATATTACAAAATTTGTCCGATTGATACAACATTTTGCACAGCGTATTAAAATAGGTCCATATTGTTGTATACGAAGTTTTGTGGAAATCGGTTCAGATATGGATACAGCTCCCATATATAGTTTCGTCCGATTTTTGATAAACGGTGCACCAAACTCCCAATATTTGTCCGACCGATACAACATTTTGCACAGCGATTGGGATTAGGTACATATTGATGAATGCGAAGTTCTGTTGAAATCGGTTGAGATTTAGATATATGTCCTATATATATGTTCATCCGATTTTATGTAAATGGAATACGGAAGAGCCTATGGTTGTTCAATTGACACAGAATTTGGCAGGGGATTGAATTGAGTTTAGCATTGATGTGTATAAAATTTGGTAAAAATCGTTTCAGATATAGAAATATTGCATATGATATTGGATTAAAATTGATTCAGGTTTAGATAGACCATAAATATTTGGATCGGATTTCACGAAAATGGTATACCAAATAATTAAAATTTGTCCGATTGTGCCTATCGTACTAAATTGAACCTAGGATAACGTGTATTGAATTTTTTAAAATGATGTAGATATGACCGCTCTATATTTTCGTCTGAGTTCATGTAAATTTAACACCAAATAATAAACGTTTCACTGATCGCAATAAATTGTGGTACAGCGCACTGTGCTGCAGCATACCAAATTGTGTATACCACGGTTACTCAAATACGTCCAGATTTACATATAGTTCACATATACAATTTTGCTCCCTTTCATACAAATGGTTCATCTAAGAATTTTTCATAGGTTTCCGAATCGTGTGTGTATTTAAATTAGTTGAAATATCTATGTAGATCACATATTTAATGTTGTCCGATCCCATTTCAATGGTCTTTCAATGATGCTATGACTGTTCTATGTACAGGAAATTGTACAGAAGAGCATCTCTTGTATGTACCTAAAGTGGTGAAGGTTATCATATAGTCGGCCCAACCGACTTTTGAACTTCCCTTACTGGTTTATAATTTTTTTCTAAGACATAACAAGGCGTGGATTTTTAAAAAATATTTTTTTTTCTAAGAAATAAAATGGCGTACACTTTTTATAAATGATTTTTTCTAAGACACAACAAGGCACAACAACGCGTCGATTTTTCTCTAAGACCCTAAATTATTTTTTCCAAGACATCAACATAATTTGTTTACCGAATCTGATGAATAAATTACACAATTCAATTATATTTATTTGAGTATTTTTTATTTATTTAGATATTTATTTGTTTTTATTTAAATCTTAAATATTCAATTGATGTTGTTTTTTTAAATATAAGAAATATATATTTATGGAATGGATGGCTCTCAATAATATGGATGTATATATATATGTAGTTGTGTGGAGGAAAAATATACACAAAATAAAGATAAATGGAATTTAGAATTTTGTTTTTGAATAATTCAAGACGGCGAAGATTGGGAGCTGTTAAGATAAATATGTAGAATTTGAATAGAAGAGACACAAACCATGTGGATAGTATGATTGATAACAGAACAATGTTTAAGAGAGATGAAAAAAAAAAAACAATAAACTGTTGTAATTTCGATCGGCCCAAACATTGCCTCATTGCCTTTTAGTACGCAACGGACTGAGTTTAGGTACGGGCCTTAAACCGATTTGGCTCTAATGTCATATTTTGATAGCAAAGCTTGCTTCCAAAAAATTATAAATTTCATAAATTTAACCTCACCATGGGTTAGACATTCACATTAGCTAAATTCGACCGGAACTTTTTTAATGGCGGATAATGTCATGGTAAATTGCTGCCTACAGAAAAAGAAGTACCAATCTAAAGACACTGAGGTTGGAAAATTGTTCTAAGACCTTGAACATACTGAAAATGTCGCGTGATCTTTGTACGAGGGGCTATGAAGAAACATAATGAAGTTGCCATCCGATGATAACCAAAAATATGAAACTAGAGCCAATTCGTGGAAGACATTCACAGAATATCGAATACCCTTTTATAGGGTCCTCTTCGAAATTTTGACAAATATTAAGATTTTCTACATTTATGACAATCCAAAATATCAAATTACAGCTAATGCGGTGGAAAACATTCCCAAATTTCATAAAATGGCCAATTTGGGAAGTTATTTGCGGCAATATTAATAATTTTTGGTAGGAAAATCTGCTACCCATTAATAATCAAAAATAATAAATTACAACCAATTTGATTGCAAAAAGTGCCCAAGATAAAAAAGTTAAATAATTTTGGAGGTACCGTATGCTATGGATACTACCCTAAAAGTGTCAAGATATTGATAATTTACGGTAGGAAGATTTTCTACGGAATTCTACGTAATGAGAATACCAAATTATATTCACTGTGTTTGAAAAACGTGAGGAACCCCCCACAATATCGAATATTAGATGTATAGTTATATGGAGGGTCTACACTGAAACTCAGGCCTATATTGATAATTTTTGGTAGGGAGATTTCCGACCAAATGGGCACCCAATATACGAAATTAGAGCCACGTCGGTTCAAAAACGTACTATTGAGAGGGGAAAGTTATATGGGGTCTATAACAGAACGTGGTCCAATATATACTATTTTCAATATCAAACATCCTAGGAGGAGGAGTATAACAGAACGTGGTCCAATATATACTATTTTCAATATCAAACATCCTAGGAGGAGGAGTATAACAGAACGTGGTCCAATATATACTATTTTCAATATCAAACATCCTAGGAGTATTACAATGTATGTGCTCTACCTTGAATTTTGTAAGCTTTATCGTATAGATTTATAGATTCTGATACGACCAATGACAGGTTATGTCAAATTATTGGTCGTACCAGAGTCTCATAAATCAAAATTTACATTCTCTCATTGAAAAGGAAACTGTGATTGGCCTTTTCTCTCAAGTATTTTTTTTTTCAATTAGTCCCCAAATCGCTCTATTAGTTTTCGACATTGCTCTATTAAGTGTCATGGTTTGTGCCTCTGCTATTTAAATTCAAAAATTTATTTTAACAGACTTTAAGGAAGCATAACTTAAATTCTCTTATAAAAAACTCTTATAAATATCTTAAACAACTAAAAGAGAAAATCAAAAGAAAAAATATAAAAGATAAATTAAATAAATTCAAATCACATGAATAATAAAAAAACAATAGGGATAACAGAAATAATAAAAAAAAATGATTAAACGTTGTGGCAAACTTGTTGGAATGGAAATTGAAGATATAATACGATTCGATGACATGAATTCAGTCAAATTGTTGATGTTTTTGTTTTGATGCATTATAATAAATTCAATTGATGAAGATTTATGGGGTTTTTGTGGCAAATACAATGTTATATACGATTTGATTTATATTTCTTCTGCAGCATAATTAATTCTTCAATTCAAATGATAAAATATGGAGAACAGGATCTTCAGTAACTCCATTTTAAAAAGCAATTTATTGGGTCATGGTATGAGAGTGTGTGTGTATAAACTGCAGCATTGATGATGATGACTTCTATCAAAAAAAGGGGGCGAAGAAATTCGTCATTATTCTGTGTAAGAAAAAATGTTGTCCATTTTTTAGGTTTGGCAGTTCAACCAGCAGTTATTCGTTCATTTACTCCTTTTTCACAGTGTGTGGTTGTTTGTTGTTGTTACTTCGTTTACTTGTTGTTGTTGTTTTACTGCTACTGCTGTATGTATGTGTGTGTGTTGTTGCTTTCTCTATTTATTCATTGCATCCCAAACCAGCTGCCCAATTGCACATGCCACCCACCGGATCATAGCTCAAACCCTTAGGGCAGGTATATTCCCAGCCCACAACACCACCAGTTTCGAATTTGGCACAGGATATAAATTTGCGACACGACAATGGATGCGGGAAGTTACCTTGATCCAGACATTCAATTAAACCCCCACCGTGCAAAATCACTTTGAGCTGCAAAATAAATGCAAAATGAAAAAAATAAATAAATATGTTATTGGCGGTGGTGGATTGGCTTAAATATTCAAATATTATATATAAATAAAATATCTGCAATAAATAAATTTTGTTATGCAAATTAAATTTAATATAAATTGAAAAATTGTCATTCTGTAGCCCAAAGGCAATAAACGGTTTAATATGGAATAAATTGGGAAAAAATGTCTTGGGGTTGAGGAAATAAAATACTGTCACATAGGAGATTTTTTTCAGAAAAAATCTTAGTCACAGACACGGAGTTTACAAAAAAATCCATTACAAAAATACATCAGCAAACTGAGGCGTGCTTTTTCTATAAAAACCCAAAAACATTTTGTCTGATTTTCATCTAAAAAAAATTCCTCAGACACTGAGGTCAGATTTTTATCTATAAAAAAGTACCTCAGACACTGAGGTCAGATTTTTATCTATAGAAAAAACTACCTCAGACACTTAGGTCTAATTTTTTTTGTTAAAAAAAATACTTCAGAAAAAAATACCTCAGAAAAATGCTTCAGCTAACTGGGGTCTGTTTTTTTTTGTATAAGAAAAATGCTTCAGTGAACTGAGGTCTGATTTTTTTCTATGGAAAAAATACCCCAACGAATTAAGGTCTGATTTTTTCTATAGAAAAAAATACTTCAGACACTGATGACTGACCATTACAAAAATCTGGGGTCAGATTTTTTTTATAGAAAAAACTGGGGTCAGATTTTTTTCTACAGAAAAAACTGGGGTCAGATTTTTTTCTACAGAAAAAACTGGGGTCAGATTTTTTTCTATAAAAAAACTGGGGTCAGATTTTTTTTCTATAGAAAAAACTGGTGTCAGATTTTTTTCTATAGAAAAAACTGGGGTCAGATTTTTTTCTATAGAAAAAACTGGGGTCAGATTTTTTTCTATAGAAAAAACTGGGGTCAGATTTTTTTCTATAGAAAAAAACTGGAGTCAGATTTTTTTCTATAGAAAAAACTGGGGTCAGATTTTTTTCTATAGAAAAAACTGGGGTCAGATTTTTTTCTATAGAAAAAACTGGGGTCAGATTTTTTTCTATAGAAAAAACTGGGGCCAGATTTTTTTCTATAGCAAAAACTGGGGTCAGATTTTTTTCTATAGAAAAAACTGGGGTCAGATTTTTTTCATAGAAAAAAACAGGGGTCTGCTTTTTTCTATAAAAAAACAGGGGTCTGCTTTTTTTCTATAGAAAAAAACAGGGATCTGTTTTTTTTCTATAGAAAAAACTGGGGCCTGTTTTTTTCTATAGAAAAAACTGGGGTTCGGTTTTTTTGTATAGAAAAAAACTGGGGTCTGATTTTTTTCTGTAGAAAAAACTGGGGTCTGGTGTTTTTCTATAGAAAAAAACTGGGGTCTGATTTTTTTCTATAGAAAAAAACTGAAGTCTGATTTTTTTCTATAGATACAATTGATGTCAGATTTTTTTCTATAGAAAAAGCTGAGGTCTGATATTTGTCTATAGAAAAAAAACTGATATCTGATTTCTTCATAGAAAAAATACATCATGCACTGAGGTCTTAATTTTTCTATAAAAAAAATTATCTCAGACATAGAGGTCGCAGACACTGAGGTCAGATTTTGTTTCTATAGAAAAAATACCTCATATACCTATAGAAAAAATACCTTACCGAACTGAGGTCGGATTTTCTTCTATAGAAAAAAAAACTCAAAAACTGTAGTCTGGGTTTTTCCTATAGAAGAAATACCTTAGCAAATGGAGATATAATTTTTTTGTAAAGAAAAAATACCTTAAGGAATATTTTTCTGTATAGAAAAATACGAATCGCAGTGAAATGAGTTCTACCGATTCTGTTTCCTTTTAGCCACCCCACTTATTCTATCTTCCATCTCACTCACCTGCTGATTTTTACGATTCCCCACCACTCGAGAATCATCATCATCGTAATAATCATAATCGGAATTTGTACGTTCTGACGATGTTATTGAAACGGCTTTCGTGTCATAGCTATTGACTCGATTAAAAGGCTCTTGATATTTATGCGGCCTACGGTTACTGCCTACTTTCTGGCTATCCGATATGGAAATGGGTGTTCCCTTAGATGGTTTCTGTTGTTTGACTATCAATTTACCTGGAATCCAAAAAGAGAGATAGACAGAAAAATCACAAATTAATTCAAATGAGAATTGATTAAACTTCCGTAGAATAATTGTTTTTGTAAATAGTGGGTGGGTGAGGGTGTGTATCTGACTTACGTTTCTTGAGTAAGGGTTTTGATGTTGTCCTTGCCGTGGTGGTGGAAATATATCTAGTTGTTGGTGGTCTTGCTGTTGATGTCGTTGTGGATGCCCTAATTGAACCTCGGCCACCACCACCTGCAGTGCCATCCATACGTCTGGTTATGACATCCTCCAAATTATAATTTGTCTGTTGCTGAACCTGCTGCTGATGATGTGACTGGTCCCGGTAGTTGTAGATTTGTTGGTTATTCTGTTGTTGCTGATGCTGTAAAAATCGTGATGTTGGATCTCTAGAGTTGGTTGACTGAGTTGCCGTTGGTTTCTGTATGTTATTTACCAAGCGGGTAGTGGCCACACCTACGCGCCGCTCCTCATCTTCTTCATCATCATCGATGTGTAGACGGCCATTAATTTGATTGAATAGACTTGTGTGGATGCTTGACTTGGCCACTTGATCTGTATCCTCATCGTTATCTAAACTTTCAAAATATACAGTAGTTTGTGGAGCATCCGTGGTTATGCCAGGTCGTATTGTCGTAGCCTTAAGTCGCGTTGGCAACAAGGTACGTATGGTGAAGGGTTGTAAGGTTGTGGGTGGTCCAGTGGTACCGGCGGCGCTGGAGGTGGTGGTTGTTGTCAAACTAAAACGTCTCTTGAATAAAGGATTTTGTGTACGAGGTTGATCTGTTCCTAAAATGAAACAAAAACCGATGGAGAGGGTAGGCGACATGTGTTAGTAATAGGAATTGAAAACAATTAAAATAACAATTGCATGAAGAAAAAAAACTCGTTGTTTTTTTCCTCATCTATAATTCAGAATGGAAAAAAAATCTATCAGGAAAAAACGTTAAAGTCATAAAATATTTTGTAAATGTCAAAAGCATATTGAAACTATAAAAAATTTACATATAAATCTATGACCACTTATGTTACCACCATAACATTCCATTTGAAATGTTAGCTAAAGTGCTAAGTGAGATAAATGTAAATATTTGGCTATTCTGGGTTTTTTATTATCTCCCCATGTTGTGCGCATTCATAGTTCGCGATCATCAGTAAAAACCATTATATGAGGATTATGTCATTATCATTCGATTAGTTTGTTTAAAAAATCACAGACACACAGGTTGAAAAACTGGAACTGTCAAATTTCAGAATTTCAGCCACTTTGGTGGGAAACCCATCAGAATATAGAATATGGGGCCGTATATCTATAGACAAACATCAGAGCGTATACGTTATGTCGTAGCTGTGTAGGAAAAAATTGTCAACAGCTAAGGAATTATTTTTGATTGTCGAAAACAATTACTCAGGCATTAAAAACTTCTTCTGTGGAAACAAATTTCTAAGACAATTTTTTCCATAAACAAATCCTCAATCAATGCGGCCTGATCATTTCTTATAAGAATAAAATCGTAAGCAACTGAAGACAGGATATTTTTAGTCATTGCGGATTGATCTCTAAAACGAAAAAAATTATCAATCACTATGGAGTGTTCGTCATTGACTGATTTTTTTGAAAAAAAAATATATTGTGAAACATTGAGGACTATTTTTTTTATAAAAAACTTCTCAGTGAATAGGGTGGTCTGTTTTTTTCTATAGAAACAAATTTTCTCCGTGAATTACAGACCTTAGTGAACTGAGAAGAAGTTTTTGGTATGAACTACCCGACTCCCGAGTACATCATGGCGTATACGTGGTATTACTACCCATTCGCCACGGTGTACAAAGATAATGTACTAAATGAAAGTATTGAACATGCCAATTTAGCATATTAGAGAGACTAAACATACATTTTCAAACATATTAAATACCTCAGTGAACTGAGGTGATTCCTATATTATATTTTTCTCAAGATAAAGCAAAAACGCATAATAAATTGAGGTCTACAATCATTTCTAGGTCATCAGGGAAAACATTCTTATGAACTGAGATTTTCTGATTATATTCTTATATAGATTTCCAAGTTTGTTATATTCATTTACGATTTCAGACAATTTCACCAAGAAGAACAGGTTTTCTAAAATAAAGTTTTTTTTTATGAAATTTGTTCTGACTCTCAGGTACACCATGGCGTGTATGGGTTGTCATTAATCATTCGCCACAATATAACAAACAAAATATGATCCAATGAAGGATTGAACTTTTCAATCTTGACACAATAATTAAGCTGCACCAAATTTCATCCACTTCGGATTATAAATGCGACATGCACTTTGTTTACAATTTAACATCAACAGACGGGTCTATCCCGATTCCTTTTGTCAGTTACAAACATATGCTCAATGACATAATACCCTGTACAACCGTGAGGTGAAGAGTATAAAAATGGATACGAAAATATAGTTTTTGACTCTCAGTCATGTCATGTAAGTGTTGTCACTGCTCATTCGCCACAATATCACAAACATAATATGATAAAATAATGGATTGAACTTTTTTAATTTTGAATCTTAGAGCAGCTAAAATAAATCTCCACAATTTTTTTCCAAATACCACAAGTGATTTAAGAAATTTAGAATGAACACAACATATTGTTGTTGTACTTGTTTTTTTTATATTCTTCAGACATTTTTTTATTGAGCGTAAATAAAAAAATAACCAGGGTTTTACAACAATATTTACATCAGATACTTTTTCCATTAGATTTATATTTTAGAAAAATGTCTATAATAATTCTTTGCTATTCAACTCATGAAACAGATTCGATTGGTTTGGATCATCGATGCGTATAACTGTGGACAATAATCATACGCCACTTGGTATTAGAGGAATTATATGACGGAAGAAGATATGTTGTCAGAACTTGTAAAATTCTAAAATGCAGGTAGAATACAAAACCAGACACTAAAAATGAAAATCCAGAATGCAGCTCACAACAGTTTGTAAAAAGCGACACATCTTCGGATGAGGCATGTAGGGCTCTAGTGTTATTTGTGAGATCAGTAACTTTTTGGCATTAAGAATAATACCTTTTGGAACATTATTGTTTTGTAGAATTTATCAAACCCTATTTTATTCCTTAATCTTTAAATTGGGAGGTGAAATTTTAGAACATACTTTTAGACGTTTTCTGAAATAAACTGTTTTGGAAATATTTTTGTTTGGAATTTTCTGTTTTCTATAATATTTGCATTGCATTATTACTTTAATTATTATAATGTTGAATCTTAATAAATAGGCATTTAAATCGAGAAATAAATTTGTATTACAAATAGAAACCAGTAAGGAAAGTAGTAAAGTCGGACTGGGCCGACTATATGATACCCTTCACCACTATGGGTATATTAAACATGACTATTAACATGAAATTGGATGAAATAAAGTATGTAAATCGACTTCAAACAAATATAAATAGGTTTATCCTGTCTGTACTTCTAGAAAACGCAACTACGTAATTCTATGCTCAATTTTGTAAGTTGTGCAAAATTTGATGTCAATCTGACTACATGAGGCCTTTGATGCCCAATTTACTTGAAATCGGGCGAAAATATATATGGAACCTCTATCCAAATATTAAGCGATTTCAAACAAAAATGTCACAGGTTAGGTTATAGTAATTTCAGAACGTTTTGTTCCTATCAGCCTATTGGTTCCTTGGTGCGTCAAAATCAATCTATAATAAAAGGGAGCTATATCTAAATCTGGACCGATTTTCACGAAACAAGGCAGACAACACTCTATGCTCAGTACGCTATGCCAAATTTCGTGCAAATCGAAAGATAAATAGCGACTTTGGTGCACCATTTACATGACATCGGACGAAACTATATATGGAAGCTATATAGAAATCTGGACCGATTTTCGCGAAACTTGGCAGACATCTCTCTTGGCTCATTTCAGTACGTTATGCCAAATTTCGTGCAAATCGAAGGATATGTAGGGACTTTGGTGCACCATTTATATGAAATCGGACGAAACTATATATGGGAGCTATATCTAAATCAGGACCGATTTTTACGAAACTTGGCAGACATCATTCTAGGCTCAATTCAATATGTTATGTCAAATTTCGTGCAAATCGAAAGATATATAGGGACTTTGGTGCATCATTTACATGAAATCGGACGAAACTATATATGGGAGCTATATCTAAATCTGGACCGATTTTCACGAAACTTGGCAGACATAATTCTAATCCTAAATGATTAGCCTGTACCAAATTTCGTGCAAATCGAAAGATATATAGGGACCGTTTACATTAAATCGGTTAAATATATATGGGAGCTATATCTAAATCTGAACCGATTTTTCTCAATTTCAATAGGGTTCGTCCTTGGGCCGAATAAGTGACCTATGCCAAATTTCATCCAATTCGGATCATAAATGCGACCTGTACTTTGTTTACAATTTAACATGCACAGACAGACAGACGGACGGACATGCATAAATCGACTTAGAAAGTGATTCTATTCATATTCTCAAAAGGAACACATGTGTCTATCTCGTTTCCTTTTGCCTGTTACAAACATATGCACAAGGACATAATACCCTGTACCACAGTGTGGTGAAGGGTATAAAAACATCGATGTCATCTCGTTGTCTAAATTCCAGGTTTTAAGGTTAAGGTCTAAAATTTTAAGGTCTAAAATTAATTCGAAGCGTATTAGTAGTGTCAATACTCATACGTCATAATATACAAAATTGTAAACTCTAGGTCTTAACTTTAATTTCCTTTATTTAAGAAAATTCTTTTGGTTTTGTTTTTTAATTATTTGGATAAAACTCCAGTTTTAGAATTTAAAGGTAATCTCTATATTTTTTTATCAGATCTTATAATCATTGAAGAAAAAGTCTAGCCTTCTATCGATTTAAAGTAATTGCATGTGTTGTGTTTAAAGTAATTGCATGTGTTGCATTGTCCATTTTTTTTCAACTTAATCGCCTTTGCTTTCCAGCCTACCTCGCATCAATTGTATGTTAGTCTAACCAATTTTGAACCAACATTTACACAATTGTACAAAGAGCTTAGCAGAATCAAACAAACAAAAAAGAGTAAGAGATGTCATCAAAGATGCACAACAATTTTTGTAAGATGAGCATTTTAATTGCTTTTCACTTTGGCATTTAAAGTTTGCCTTTAGCAACGTCGTTACTCGTCGTTACTGGGCTCTGCAAATGTGACTTCGGTAAGCTGGATGTCGATGATGCCATTTATGTGGCACTTCGTCTATGTGGAGGGAGATGGTAAAACAAGCATCATCTTTATATGGTAATGGTTAATTTTTGTTGTTGCTGGTGTTGTTGTCGGCGTTGTTGTTGTTATTACATTTGCCAGTTTACAAAACAGCATTTGAGCACATAATTTGTGGCGAACAAAAAACAATGTTGGCATCATCTTCTATTGCCTGGCTGTATGCTTACTGTTTGACTTTGCAACATAATAACTTCACATAGAGACAGAGATATCATTATTTTCGTTGTTGTTGTTGTTGCTAAGACAACACAATTTTATCATTCATGAATGATAATTGCTTAAAGTGCAGTTTTCGAATTTAGTTTTGCTT